AGCAGGACATGTATGGCCACGACTGGGAATTAATTTTTTCAGGTTCCATGATATCTCACAAGTGAAAATTATTTTAAAAAAAAACAATGCAGATTGAAAAAGATAGATACATAGAGATATTTAAGCCAACCTATGCAAGGTGTTCCATTCAAAATAGCTATGGTTGCTGGAACTGCTCCATTTTCCCTCACAATTGACTCCACCTCCTTTGCAGTTTGAAGATTCTGTGGGTAAGGCATCCCTAAAGAAGCAGCAAAAAGAAAAATTCAGCAGATAATTTAATGGAGCGGGTCAAGGAATACGATTTAAGTTCAACAAGTATTTCAATCAAGATCTAGACAGAACCAACAAATATGAGATCAGTATCTAAAATGAAGCACTTCCATAATCTTATAGGATTTCATGGAATTGCGACAAACTAAAGATGTACGGAATAATAATGGGCAACATGGGACAATAGGAGAGCAAGTCTTCTTAGTGTTCCCACTTTGCATAGCACCAAATACGATAAATTAACCCTTTGTGATGTAACTCAATTTACACAGAGACCTGTAAAAAGATTATAATCGTCAAAAACAAGCAACTTCTGGATTAAAACAGACCAATGAGAAACACACCATGAGATATTATAGTTGACTCTAGAGCAACCACGGCACGCCCATCGGATAGGGCTTTGGATACTTCGGGAGAAACCTTCACCAGACTCCTTATCTGCCAGATATTATTTATCAGTTAAAAGGGAGAATGCTGAGATCAGGAACAGAACATAACATTGGAACAAGGACAATAATCAGACAAGAGTAAAGGAAAAGAGGTGATCTTCCAGAGACCAACCTTGCTGTTTATGTCATTCGGCGAGAGATGATTCTGAATATTTGAGATTCTTGAATGAGCATGTGATTCCATTTTGCTCCGACTCTATAGTTCTTGCTTGTCCGTTTCAGTAGAACAACTTTGGATGTCAAAATTTTTGCAGGGTTATCTGAAACCAGTTTCAAGAACTTCTATAGCATTCCCATTGCATAGACTTTCAAATCAAATAAAAAACACAGCCTGAATTTTCCCAAATAAATTGACATTTCGAGACTAGGAGATCCATCATAATCAATGCTTGTCAATTATCACATAAACTAAGATATTTTTATATCAATCATGTATCATACTTAGGTCACAATTATTTTAGTTTGGTGCTTTTACGTCACAAGAACTCGCCTCAATACTCAGAGCTTCTCTACCTCAATTACACGCTAAACATTTCTTATTAAGCAACGGTCATAAGAATTGGATTCTTAATACCAGGAGCCAAAGCGAATCGCCGGCGGTGGTTCTCCGGGGAACTGAATTGACAAGACATATCAGCTCATAATTTCACGAAGATTCAAAAAATAAGGTAGGCCCAAAGTAAAATAATACCTAAAAACTATCCGAAATGGTATTTTGCTTCTACGAACTCATGTCTCAGACCCGAGCTCATGGTGGAAGAAGAAGAAGACGAAGAAGATAATGATGATGATGAAAACAGAAAGAGAGAGAGAGAGTTTACCGGACAAGAAGACAGGAAACGGCGGTGAAGATCTCCGGTAACGGCAAGGAAAGCTAGGGAAGGGTTCGGCGACTGTTCTCCCGTCCAACACGAGCTTTTTCCAAATTTCTTTTTTAATTTTCATTTTTTTGATCGTTTATTAAATTTAACAATATTGCAAAAAGGTCCTCTAACTAGAAACAGATCTCATTGGAAGGCCAAACATTTTGTCGGAGGTTGAGACTTATTTATAATTGCCCAGGTTCAATTTATTATTATTATTATTTATTTTTTTACAAAACAAGTGTTTTCTTCTCTATTGTCACCATTGCGTATTGTTCTTCGACGGCTCAGCATATTGCAATAATATAAACTTTATTTTTTCAATAGAAAGAAAATAAGAAAGCGAACAAAGAAGAAGAAAAAAAAAAGAAAACGCTTGGAGTTGAACAGACACCACTCGAATTCTAACACATCGTCAAGACATACATATATATATATACATATATATGTATAATTAAGTGTTCTTCCTCGCCTGATAAGCACAATAGGCCGCCAATCCAGCAAATGCAGCTGCAGTCACTGATGCCACGACAACTGACTTGTTACAGTCGTTCAATGTCGTGCAGGCACAGCCAGATTCACACGGTCGCTTTCTCTGCTCCGAGACCTATAACACCATAATCCAGATAAACATCGATCATCAGTCTATATATGGTATGAATGATCGAAGATGATAAGATGAAGACGGGGAAATGTTATGAATCGTACCGGAACTTTCCCGACGATCATGTGACCCTTGTAGAACACATTCCTGACCGGTTCATCGTCCCCCCACGCGTCCTCGAACTGCTTGATCAAATCTTCGGTTATTAGCTCGACCCCTTGTTCCTTGGCCTTCACCGCAGGCTGCCACGATCTCAAAAAACCCACAAACCCTTTGAGCGAAAGCTTATGCGGAATGTCCAGAGCTATCGGCTTCCCCTCCGACCCCATCCCCACGCTCTCGAACGGGAACGGCAGCGTTTTGTATCCGTCAAACGCCAGATTCATTATCGGCGTCCTGAACGGAAACGTGGAATCCACCAAACGCTTCATGATGCGGTCAACCTCGGGCGTGATTATGAGGTCGTTGTAGACCCAAACCGCGATTAAGCCGCCCTGTTTGCGAAGAACGCGTTTTGCTACGTTGTAGAATCTAACCGTGTCGAAATAGTGTACGGCCTGAGCGGCCACGATAAGATCCACGGAGTTTTCGCCGCCGACGAGAGCGACCAGCTCGTCATCGGACATGGAAGCTGGAGTATGACGGTAAGTCACTTTCGGATGTTTGAACGATCTCTTGAGCTGTAACTCGTTAATGTCTGTTGCCACGACCTTGTCGTAGTATTCAGCCACCTGTATACATTCATATATATGCATGTTAAAGTTAGGGAAGAAATAGAATGGTAGAAAATTAAATTAGAAAAAAGATTGTACGTGCAGAACAAAATACCCTATTTTTCGAGGGAAAACTTAGGGTTTGAGGGAAATTGTGTATCATTAAATAATTATACAATATTTTATGTAAAAACTACAATAATAAAGAAAATTTTACAAAGATACTATTGAAATATACCATAATAAGTCTTGTTAATGAATATTTGTAAAAACTACAAATTTATCCAACTTATTGGACCGTGTCAACCGACATCTTAGTTGACTTATCTGTTGATTTTTTTAATGCATAAATACAGCTCATAGAACAAATTGCAGACTGCGACGTTTATTTTAATATTAATTTTAATTTGAAATCAAGAAAACGAGATTTCAACATAAATTACGAATTCCGGGAATATTCATGGATCTTGAAATAATTAATATATAGATTGATGAAAGTATAGAAGAACATAATAATGTAACGAAATCGTATTGGATCTTAGCTACCAAAAGTCAACAAGGCTTTAAAAAAATTAAATAATGTTTATGTCTTTCTGATATGAAATTGGGCCAATTGCATGCATTATATTATTAAAGAAAAAAATCAGAACTAAACGAAAACAATCGTCAAGATATTGCATAAACTCATGAGGAGAGATAAATTTAAATTAATGAAATTAAACCCTAAAAATGTCAAAAAAAAAAAAACAATACAAACCGAAAGACATGAGATATTGAGATGAAAAAATGAGGCAAGATCCATACTTAGCAGAGAATTGAACCAAACTAAACCCTAACGACGGGCTACGACATGAAAGATCAATAGAATATGGATTTTTTTTTAGAATTCAATTCAAATATGGAACATATTTTATTCATATAATTCACGCAAGAACACAGGATTTATATTTTGATAGGGAAAAGATTTCAATGATAAGGATACGTACCCCGACGGCGGCCTGGCCGTTGCCGCATCCGACGTCCCAAGCCACCTTGTGCTCGAGCGTTCTGGCCGCGAGCTTTCTGTACCAATCCATCGGATATTTCGGCCTCGCATCGATGTAAGCCTCCGCTTGCTTGTCCGACAGGGCAGCCATCTCTCTCTCTCTCTCTCTGATGAATCTTGCTATGAACACTGGTATTTGTATTTCTCTTGATGAAGAATCATCCTTTATATAAAAATGTCTAGATTTGAAGAAGATTGGAATGTCAAACTTGGCGTGAGAGGAGGAAGTCTTATTCTAAAAGCCTACTTGGTCATCCGTAGTATAATATAAGATTCTTTATTATTATTATTATTATTATTATTATTATTATTATTTTTATTTTTATTTTTATTTTTATTACACGGTGTTGACAAGTTCCAAGTTGTGACGAGCTCAGAAAGTGTAAGAGAACATGGTTTTCCGAAGCCTCGGATGACTTTGACTCCGCAACGGTTCATTTACGATTTTGACTTTTAAATTATTGGTCTGTCATTGAATTACTGTGCATGATTTTTTTTTTACTTCGGGGTTAATTAAGTAATAAGTATAGTATACGGAGTGAATCCTGTCCATTCTACTGGATTGAATTGTATTAATTGGATTGGATGTGAAAATAGATCTTGATAATATATATATATATATATATATATATATATATGTATGATTAATCTTACATATTTTTCTATTAAAAGTAATATTTATTATGTATTAGATTCACTTACATTTTGTGTTTCACGCAGAAAATACAAGACATAAAAAAATTAATATTGTGACATTTTTCGATAATTATTTTAAAACCAATCACGTTTAATATAATTATATAAATATGAATTGGGATTAAAGTATTCCATCGTCTATACCAAAAATCTGATCATATATACACATATCTTTGGGAGATAATTATTTATTATGATCGTTAGATTTTACTTTTTTCAACTCAATATATAGAAACCAATACTTTCACAAGTTTAATCAATAATTATTTCAAAACCTACAAAATTCAATATGAATTTATAATATAAGCATTCATCGCCATCGGGACCCAGTTTTCCATTCTTAATAATATATCATAAATCCGTGTGAATATATATATATTTATATACATATTGATAAAATAACTTAATAATTGATTCCTTAATTTTTTTTTCACCCGAAACAGCTTTTTATTGAAATATTTTAAAAAAAACGACTCAAAGATACATCACCAAATAAACGGAATCCGTGTTAATAATTAAGTATATTGTTAGGATTATAATGGATTGACATTTGTTTGGCTGCTCATTAAGTACATTGGTATAGTTTAGAAATTTTTGCTATGCGCAGTTCTTATTATTTAGCGGAATTGTTTAATTTTTAGATCGGAAACACAAAATATATAAAATTAGAATTTTCATCATTTTAGTAAATAATTGTTTTAAAAATTATAATGATAATTAGAACTATCATTGAATTCGATGTAAATATTATTATAGTAGTGGGTAAAGGTACATATGCCTCATTTCCGAAACTTTTGTTCCAATCTTTGCGTAAAACCGTTTGAATTTTAATTTTTTTTTAACCCGGTTTAGAAAATTCAATAATATAATACCATTTTGAGATTTACGCACATTAGAAAAAAAATTAGTAGGATAAATACCATTTTCATATGTCATAATGTTCCAACTAATATGAATTGAAATATTTTCTCCTTGATAAAAAGGACAAGAATCAGGACAATCGTGCATACATATTTTAATTCCTTAGATTTTTTAAAAATGTTACATTCTCAAGCATTTCGAATAAAATCTAACTTTATAGAAGTGATACATTTTTACCGGTTTTTCATTTGATTTAGGGAGAAATCCAAAAAAAAAATCCTAAAGTTTAGTACTTACTACAATTAAATCCCACACCTAAATTTTCTCACTTAAAAACCTCAACTATACAAATTAATTAAAAAAACCATTAACAGAGCAAAGAAACGGAAGTGAAAAAAAAAGGCATTTTCAATTTTTTTTAGCTTATTTAATTTCTATTTATTTAATATCTAAATTCTAAAAACCTACTAGCAGTCTAGCATCTCCATCTGAAGTTAAAAACTCTATCTCACTTTTTTTTTAATCTTTTATATCATATTCTCAAAGCCAAAATATACTGATACTCAACTTTTCTTTCAAATTTTAGATTTTTTCGAAGATTTATGATTTCTTGGAATGTTTTGTTTGAACATATATTTATAATTTATAGAGATTTTTAGGGTATTTATTTTTATAGATAATAATTATTCTAATCGTAGTTCTGTTTTTATAGTAGATACATATTTTTGGTACCGTGAAGTTTTAAGGTTCTATTATTGTATATTGCTATATAAACATTTTCTATATATAATTTTGACGTATAATTCTAAAGATAATTTAATTGAATAATACATAACTAATTAAAATACTTGAAAGTTTGAGTTGTTAATTCAAATTGACCAAACTATAATTTATTTTAAGTCATAAAAACCACATTGATATGTATTGAGAAAAAAATAACTAGTTACCTAGTTAGAGATTAGTTGTCGGATAGAGTTTAAAATTGTAATTAATAAGATATAATATATGACATAAATAAAAATGGTAATGTGTATTTTTAGTGTTTTTTTAACGTCCTTTCATTTTTTTCTATTAATACTTTTTTAAATTAATTTCTGTAGTTGAGGTTTTTAATTAAAGAGTTTTAAGTGCGGGATTAAATTTGAGTAAGTAGTAAAGTTTAAGAATTTTTTTTTTGGTTTATCCCTTTGATTTATACACGTTTTTTCCACTAATAATGAACTTTAATGTTCCATTTAACAACCAGCTAAATCGGTTGAATAACTAAATGTTGAATAAATAAACTAACATTACTCGACTTTAATGATGATCAATACATTGAATGAGATTGTGGTTTTGAGTTTGTGGTTTTGAGTATGCATAATGTATGTATGTATAATACGCACAATGTTTTATGTGAGTCATTCTGCTTCCTTTAATTTTAAAGTTTTGTATTAATCTTAATTTATCATTATAAGTTAGTATCTCATATCTATCCCATATCTGTCTCACCGTTATTCTTTATTTTTTTCGTAAATATTATCCCATTTGTTATCTAAATAAATTATTTAATATCAAAAGTATAAAAATAAACATATTTCCGGATATTATTACATAGTTCTTACAAATGCCATGATTTCTAATAAAAAAAAAGATAGACTCAAAAAACAATCTTTAACTATCTCAATTACACCAAAAAAAACTTCTACTTAAAATTCATTATAAAAAACCATCAATTATTAATTTTGAATAAAAAAACATCAAATATAAATTGATTAAAATCAATCTTTCACTTTAAATTTGTTATAAAAAATCACCAACTATTCATTTTAATAAACAAAATTCATTATCTATCTAAATCACTCAAAACAAATATTATATTTTATATTTATTATAAAAATCTATAAAATTTGATAAAAAAATTAAATTATACAATTTAGAAAATAACAAAAAATATAATATATATTTAAATTTATCATATTTAAAATTTATACAAGTATTATAAACATCAATTTATTAATAAATTTTTGTACAAATGTTATACTTAAAATTGACTCTATTTTATTGGTTGTAAATATCATACTTAAAATTTTATCATATATTAATATCTGAAAGATTGTAAATTGTGTATATTTTATTATTGTAAATATAAGAGATAATATATGTATTTTTTAAAAAATAAAATAAAAATATAGTATTTTTATATGTAAAATTGTAAATTGAGTATATTTTATTGGTTATATATTTTTGATTTAAAATAAAATAATTTTAATAATTTCAAATAATTGATTTTTTTATTAAAATTATTATAATAATCTATGAAATTTTTTTAATTGTTATAGAAAAATCAAATTTTTAGTTTTTTACCCTTCAAATATTAATATATGATAAATCTTAAATATAATATTTGCAACCAATAAAATATATTAAATTTTAAATATAACATTTGTATACAAATTTATTATATAAAAATTGATGTTTATAATATTTATATAAATTTTAAATATTACAATATGATAAATTTTAATACATATTATATTTTATTGTGATTTTTAGGATGGTATAACTTTTATATATTTTACTATTCAAATTTTATATATTTTTTTAAAAAATTTAAAACAAAATATTTTTTTTTGAGTAATTTAGATAGATGATGATTTTTTAAAAATTAAGAATTGATGGATTTTTATAAAAAAAAAATTAAAGTGAAAGATTGGTTTTAAATAATTCATATAGTTGATGTTTCTTTTTTTGCTCAAAATTAATATTTGACGGTTTTTTATAATTAATTTTAGGTAAAAGGTTTTTTGGTATAAATGGGATAGTTTGAAAGTTTTTTTTGAATTTATCCCTAAAAAGGGGACCAAATCTCCCAACTTGATATACTGAATTTCAAATACAAAGAAACAAAAAACTATCCCACCTCCCCATCCACATATTCAATTCTTATGACAGAAAAAAAAACTTTTAAAACGTGGAAATAAATATAATATATCTCGTTTATCTAAACAAAGTTCCAAATGCATTCAAACGATATCGCATACAATTTCTATAACCCAATCGAAGCTATGGCGCCACAACAAGCGACCTCAAAGACCACCTCGTTGGCGTTCAACATCCATCGCCGGGAGCCAGAGCTAATCTGTCCGGCCAAGCCAACACCATGTGAGCTCAAGATCCTCTCCGGCATAGACCATCAAGACTTCATACGATGCCACCTTCGTATGATCTTTTTCTTCCGACACAACCCTTTGACCAAAGGCAACGGTAATAACAACCACTCCGACCCCGTAGAAGTGATACGCAAAGCTCTAGCCGAAACGCTCGTTTACTACCACCCGTTTGCCGGCCGGCTCCGTGAAGGACCTGACGGGAGCCTGTCGGTGGACTGCAACGGACGAGGCGCGTTGTTTGTGGAGGCGGATGCTGAAATGGCGCTCGATGAGTTCGGTGATCTTTGCCCTCCTTTCCCTTGTTTGGAGGAGCTTCTGTTTCATGACGAGGGTCCGAGGGGGTTCCTTCACTCTCCCTTGCTTCTTCTTCAGGTTACGTATCGCATGTTGAGAAATTAATTACGGCAATACCTCAAATCTCAAACAACCTTATTAACCATGTTTTAGATAATTATATTCTCAAGTATATTACTGTCTGAAACATGTCATACCGTCCTTACTTCAAAAAGATGCCAATAGAAACTGATTACAAAATAAATATATTATCATTTTCATATTTACCACTAATTACCATGTTACTAAATATATTTTTTTTGGGTCTAAAACGGTATAGGTTACGCGGTTAAAATGCGGAAGCTTTATCCTCGCATTCAGCTTCAACCATGCCATATGTGACGGTGCCGGTCTAGGAATATTCTTAAGAACACTCGGGGAATTGGCGAATGGTGCAAACGTGCCATCCATCCCACCCGTGTGGGACCGCCACCTATTGGGCGCATGGGTCCCACCGCATGCACACGAGGACGTCCACGTGGCTAGTGATACCACTCCACACCACGAATCCGTGGTCCAACGCTCGTTCTTCTTCGGCTCAACGGAGATCTCAGCCATACGTAGACTCGTCCCGTCTGATCTCCATGGCCGCATCACCACCTTCGAACTGTTGGTGTCATTCCTCTGGCGCTGTCGAACCCTCGCCCTGAGACTGCCCCCAGACGCCGAATCGCGTCTCATGATCGCGGTTAACGCACGTCCCCTTTTCCGAAACCGGCCGTTACCGCTGGGCTACTATGGGAACGCCGTCGTGTTTCCGGTGGCCATAGCCACTGCCCGAGAACTATCAGAACAGCCTCTAGTATACGCTATAAGACTGCTGCAAGATGCAAAATCCAGCGTGACGGAGGAGTACGTGTGGTCCGTGGCCGGTGGCTTAGGAACAAGAGGTCGGAAACACCAGACCATGTCGGAGACGTTCTTTGTATCCGACGCGAGACATCTCGGCTTGGACCAGGTCGACCTGGGGTGGGGCCAGCCGGTATACGGCGGGGCCGCGGGGGACGGTTTGGGGGGCTTTGACGGAGCCAGCTGGCTCGTACGGTGGAAGAACAAGAATGGTGAGACGGGAATCATCGTGCCTGTTTTATTGCCGGAGCCGGCGACGGAGAGGTTCGCCGAACAGCTCGCTCTTGTCTTCAACAACGACGGCTGTAGCAAACCTTTGAGACCTTCGCTCTAGGGAAAAAAATACGGAGAGAAATTAACAATAAAAAAATTAAATGATGCAGTAAGTAACATAGTCACATATGAAGGGTTATTTAAGGTGTTGTTACAAAAAGCCGTTCAAGGGATACTTGGCAATTGTTGTCAGTGGAAGGTAAAAAGACGTACCGTACGCAGGGTTTTTGAATATATCGGTATAAAATTATAAGAAAATATATAATTTTATTTAAACATGATATATTTATGTACTTTAGTTTTGTTTGTTGGTTGCTATTTTTTCTGTCTTGAGTTTATTTTAAACTATCAAATTATTTTGTTAAAACATATTATATTGTCACGGGGTGAAGATGGCGATAGCTTGGGCGACGATATTGGTGATAATAAATGTGACTGGGGTGGGTTTATTTGGTTACCGTTGATCTAGATTTTATTATTTTCGATTTTGAAAATTTATAATCAAATGGTTATTTTACATAGATTATTTAAAAAATCTAGTTTCTTCTAATTTCTCGTTAAATTTATCAAACTTTATCACCAATTTTAAAATAAATTTAAATTTTGAAGAATTAATTTAATGCACGAACATCATGTTTTTTTTTTGTAATAACTAATAAGAAAGTGTATTCATTACTTTTTCATTTGATTCATATCATATTAAAATTATGGCACAGTCGCACAGATATTTCACACATCCAACTAATAATCAGATAAATATGTAATAATTGAAGTTCTTAACGTGTCCATAATCTCCCGTTATTCATAAATTTAACATTGAAAAATTGATTATCAAAGGCGATGAGTTCAAAACTAATTAGATAGGGCCAAAAAAAATAATTGAGTCGGCTCGGTTATAATTGAAGTGGCAAATGGTTTTAGCGCAATTGTTTGGGATTTCGTGATCATTGTACGCAATTAGAAAATTGACGCAATCGTAAATCATCTGTAACGTCCGAAACTCACATCTCACAATACGAGTTGCGTCACATGGACAAGTAAAATAAAAACTCAATTTCTGAAAATCCGCGGGAATTTAAAACATTTTTTTTCAGAGTTAGCGGAAGAAAAACATTCATACATACATATACGGTACATTATCCCAGAGATAATTATACATAACCAGTGGTAGTGATGAAATTATTACAAATATAGCGACGGAATTTGCGACGGAACTTTTCCGTCGCAAAGAAATTACGACAGAATTCGACGAATTTGCGACGGAATGCGAAAATTTTTATTCCGTCGCAATTAGTCGCAACATCCGTCGCAAATTTGCGACGGAATACGACGAAAACGTTGTCGTCGCAGAACCAAACATTATTTGCGACAGAAATTTTAAAATTGCGGATTTGCGACAGATTTGCGACAGAATTTTCTGTCGCAAATATTAATTTTATTTATTTTTAAATTAAAGTTATTTATTGTTGGAATTTGCGACAGATTTGCGACAGAAATTTCTGTCGCAAATCATAATTTCATTTTTTTATTATTTTCGATGAAAAATTTCAAATTTTCGCGGTTTATTTTTGTTTTTCGACGGATTTGCGACAGAAATTTCTGTCGCAAATCATAATTTCATTTTTTTATTATTTTCGATGAAAAATTTCAAATTTTCGCGGTTTATTTTTGTTTTTCGACGGATTTGCGACAGAAATTTCTGTCGCAAATCTAAATTTTATTTTTTTCCGCTATTTTCGATGAAAAATTTTAAATTTTCGCGGTTTATTTTTCGTTTTGCGACGGGTTGCGACTGCAATATCCGTCGCAACACTTAATAAATGCTGCGACTTCGTCTTTCTCCTCCAGACTTCGAATTTTTTTTTTTAAATCTCAATCTTCTCCAATCTTCTCCAACAAATTGTTTTTCTTCAAAATTCGCCAAGGTATGTGTATATATATCGTGTATATGGATTTGTATATGTATGTGTTGTGTATATATATATATATGTGAATGTGAATATGTTATGTGTATGTGTGTATGTATATGTGTATGCGAATGTGTATGTGTTTTATGTATGTATGTGTATGTGTGTGTATGTGTGTGTGTTTATGTATGTGTGTTGTGTATGTATGTGAATGTGAATATAAATGTGAATGTGTATGCATATATATAAATGTTTATGTGTGTTTATGTGATGTGCATGTGAATATATATATATGTATGTGTATGTGTGAATATGTATGAATGTGTGTTTATGTATGTGTATAATGTATATGTGTATATATATATGTATGTGTATGTAAATTTTGTGTATGAATGTGTGTTTATGTATGTGTGTGTAT